GTCAGAGTATGCAAATCTTGGAATGCCCTTCCATCTCATGTCGTTTGTGCACCCACTATTGAATCTTTCAAGCAGAGACTCGACAAAATCTTGGCACACCTCACATTCGTACACTAAAGGCAAACGGGATTCACTGTAGCCTACATTCTCTATCTCCTACCCGGATCTCTATGTGACTCCTTTTTTTGATGTGTTACGATTCATCTATGTAAACATCCTATGGGACAAGAGAAGCACCAGCTTGTAAGCTATCCCCATAATAAAACTTTGACTTTGACTTTGTCTAACTTAATACTGTCGATATCTGTGGAGAATCTGATCAAGAATCTGGTAGATAAATTTGTCCTGGAAAATTCCAATTTGCAAAGAAGCATGTTTTTTTCCGGGGATGAGGTGGGTGGGGTGGGGGGATTACTATGCTGGAATTTTTAAAAGTTCAGGAGTCTATTTGCTCTATTTGGCCTCAGGTATGGACGTTGCCTACACCTTTGTGACTGAACTTTTCACAATTCAAACCGACCTGAACGGCATAATTTGAATAAGTAAACTAACCTTAGAAGTTCACTCGATAGATTCTAAGGTCATTTTTCCGTGGTAGTTAGCCTACATGCTACCTGGTGGATTCCATGTCTCTGTCATTTCCCTGGTTGGTTGGGAGGGAGGTGATTCAAGTGTGAAAAGATCGGTGTGTGGTCTCGGAACTCAGTTGGTAAAGCACTAGCGAACTACAGTAGCCGTGACCGGATGGTCTGGATCAGGCTCGTACTTGAACCTTTTAGGGATTACGTGGTCCAGGTCGGTAACACATGCCTGCTTTAGGCCATAGGGTTAGAGACTCAAAACCTTTGATCACAATCCGAATTTGGCGGTAAGTAGTGAACTTTTCATTACAGACCTTAGTGTGACGAACAGCATACGTAGACCTGCTATTCGGCGATGAAAATCGACAACCTAATCCCCAGGACTTGGAGTGGTGAACCACATAAATTCCCACCACTAGGTTAGGGGTGGAATCGAACCGGAAGACAAAAGCAAAGCTGCCTACCACCAAAGTTGGTTGGTGGTGGCAGTGATGGGGCTCAAGTCTCGTAGCATGGGGTCCAAAGCACGCTGGTGACAGCGACAAAACCACTGCGCCCCGCTGACCCCGTCTATCCCGGTGAACGTTTAAGTGGTTCATTGAGGCTATTTTTTATCTAGTAAAAGGTTATTAAGGTCTTGTGAACATAGGGGTTTATTCCTTTGGCTTTTTATTACACAACGGTGAATAACTTGGGTTTGAACTAGTGTACTACTACTACTTCTCATTTGTCTCTCGTGTTCAGTCTATTCCATGAATTGTGCCGATTCTGACTTAGGGCATAACATTAGACCATTAGAAGCAATCAGAATCCGGTTTTCAGCTCTCAGTGTGTTAATAATTAATAGAATCCACTAGAAATCCCATTCGATGACGTAACACAACCGAGAACGCGTTCGTAAGGTCTACCCTATGGTCGCTTTCAACCAAGTGACGTGCGATCACCGAAGTCGGTCTGCGTGATGTAGGCTGAGTCACAGAGTCACGCACATACTTGGGGATATGTTCAGCGATTCTAGTTTGCAGTGATCGGTCGGTTCTACCAATGTATGCCTCGTTGCAGCTGCAAGAGAAGGCGTAAATACAATGAGAGGTAGACTCGACTGGACGACGATCTTTGAATGGGGGGACGGAGAGGCGCCGTGTGATCGGATGGAGTCTTAATGCGGCAGCGTAGTAGGTTGTTTCTAACGCGTTTTTGATACACTATGTGATAAGCTGCATTATTGACTCCCTTTTGTATGGCAACGAGATGTGGATATTCTTTTTTGGCATCTGATGGGTAGTGGCTTGAGTCCGGTTTCCTGGCCGACTATGAAAACGAACGAAAGATTCCGGATAACCGTTTACCCGTAATGCGCTATAGATATTCTCCTGTTCACTTAGTATTGTGTCCTCTGTACATATTTTTCTCGCCCTGTGGAACAATGTTCGAACCAGGGCTCTCTTTTGAGAAACTTGGTGAGAAACTGGTTGTTTGGTTTGGGAACGAACGCGCACTCAACTTTCCGGAAGGAGTTTGTGAGCAACCAAAGACCGATAGTCAGTACATTGGAATCCGAAGGTGATTATAGTGAAGTTCGAATACATGAACTGTGAAATGTGGAGCTTGTGACTAATACCACTTTTCCTACCGTTGTCCAGTCCAAAACACTTGACACTAATAAATGTTCAAATCAAATTATAGAGCTGAATCGAATGTACGTCATTCCTGTCCGTCTAGTCGATGTTGTGAGCAAATTGTTTCGTCTTTTTACCCCGGAAATCGCACCGGTCACTTAGTACATCAAGTACAGCTTGATTTCCTGATGATTCATTGTCAATTTCGATGCGCACCGCAGCATGAGAAGTAATTGTTCACAGTAGATTTGCTATTCTTCATTTTATGTCAGCGTACCCCGGATGGCCATTTTCGCTGATTAGGCAACGTAAATCTTATTTGCAGCTCGAAGAGTAAAAGAAAATAGCCTCGACGAATCAGAGCGATCTTTATGAATAGGTGTTATGGGTTAGATGCGTCCAACCTCAGACGAATAGTCAGCAGGTCCGATTTTGAGTGTTTTTATAACCCCCAACATCTAATACAGAATCATCGCAATAATCCTTCAAGGCTTTTTGTCTGAAAATGAATTCACCC